ACTCACATGAAGACAAAATTATCAGGCTCTGGTTTAGCGAAGGAGTTAACTCCCGGCTCTAAGGTAGCTAACCTAGAGAAATCTAGCCGTAGTGTTGGGGGGTGGTGGTGTTTGCAGCTAAGTAAGTGTGGGAGAAACTCTTAACAGCAACATTTTTTCAACTACAATCCAGCCTTTGATAAAAATAGAACCACCCACAAATAATTATTCTTTTGCTCTCCAGTGTGAGCCTGCCTCAAGATGTTTCAAGAACTCCATTATGAGGAAATTTTTAAAAGACCAAAGAACTACATTGCTTTAGAAAGTGATAATACATTTAGCAGTAGCAGGCTTCGGAACACTTTATCTCCTATCGGCAGTTAAACCTTTTGAATGCGGCAAAAATGTGAGAGTACAATGCAATTTAAAATTCCTGTTACATGCAAAGATGCACATGACCTATGCTTTGCAATGGGCCTATTCCTATAATGGCAGATACGTTAGAAATGGTGAGACTTTCCATTTGGGTAGGACCTGATGGAAGGCTCCAAAAAGTCTTTTTTAATCTTAGAAGAAAAGACTGTTTAACTAAGGCTGCATGTTTTTATCTGAAGCATTTGGTAGCAGGGCACAGTGGAAACGCAACACTTTTGTACAAGCTTCTCCTTCTGATATTTTTCTCTTGCTAGCAGAAAGATTCAACCCACTAAACGTGAGACAAATACACAATTACATATCGCTTCACTGTGGACATAGCCTTCCCATTTTTTAATACCGGTGAAAAACTACAAAAGCTTAATCCATGGAGATGAGTTGCCTCAAGAGAAATCTGGCTTCCTCGGAACAGGGGGCTGGTCACTACTGAGTGGTGGCAGAAGGTCCCAGCCACCGCGTGGCTCTGAGCTGTACTAAGGTGAGACACTTCCCCGGAGTGGCACCAGTGCTAACTTTCCTGCAGGAATTACACTTGTAGCAAATTAATTTTTAAGGGACGCACACCTCTAGTTGGATGAAAAATCTTGGTGGTGCACTTTGATTATATTTTCTTCACTTCAGATAAAAATCCTGCAGCTTTAAATTTCCATCTTTTAGTGTATAAAGAAAGTGTGTTTCTTTTCACAAGGGCACAATACAATTCAAGTGGCAGGACAAGAGAATCTGAAATGATAAAGCCTCAGGGCTGTATGTACATAACCATGGGCTTCTCAACCACAGCAGACTTAAAAGCTTTCTAAATACAAGCTATTCACTATAATTTCCATCCCAGCCCTAAGACACTGTGGTTATTGTGGACAGAAACAACACCCTAGCAATCTTGAACAGCCCAAACTGTAAGTGGTTTCAGTGACAGTAATTCCACTATGTGCCATCAAAGATCAAGCATAACTGCTACCGTATTTAGTAAAATGGATGTTATTAATTTAAAAAGTATAATAGTGTAAACAGACACGTTTGCTGCGTTACTGTAATTAGGGTGATGTCTCACCATTTCTTCCCTTTCCCTCCTACCTGCCTTAATTCACTCCACTCTTGCTTGAATAATCTTGTCAGTGCCACGTCAGTGTTTAACCCTGCTCTACTCACAGCTGTAAACTCGGCTACATCAGCTGTGAAAACACAGCAATTACCATGCAGAATTTACCTGAAAGTCCCCAATTTCACCTTGGTGCCACTGCTACGTGCAGGTTTTGTTTTTTGGGGGTATGCGAGACTGAGAAATGACACGATGGGGATTTGGAGGCTGCTGGCCACCTGCACGCAACCCTGTGTGTGGCAGGACACCGGCTACACAAATATTACACAGCATTTTCAGAACAGAGGAAAAACGTTAAAATGGGGAAAATGGAAATCTTGCCAGGATTACATTCCTCAGCAGCAGTGGCAGTAAAAAAGGGTGGTATTTTCACATTCAAAAATCACCAATCCAGTGCTTAGCAAAGCTTTGCAGGAATGCGCCCTGCACTTGCTGGGGTGAATTCTGGATGATGACATTTCAAAATTTAAAATGTCAGCCATAAAAAAAAAAAAAAACATTTTTTTTTTTTTTTTAACTGTATGCACTTTTAAAATTAAATCATTATGGAATACTTACTCTTCTTCACCAAGCAGCTACCAGAGTTCCTGATCTGCTAATGCTTGAGTGCAGGGAAGTGAACAGCCAGTAGCATTTCCTTAATTAATTTATACTTTTGGCCCAGGTGTCTTTCAGCATTCTGGGCTATTTCCTCATATTTCAAATTTCAGGTATCCTTGCCCTCTGCACACATTTAAAAAATTTTCACATTATTTCCTTTTCTCCCCATTAACAAAGTTAGAGTCTTCCTGCCACTTTACGCTCTCAAATGCAGCTTTATAACAAACCTTTATTTTTCCTGCCCAGATCAAAAACGCACCACTGAAGTTAATGCATTTTGGGTGTGAGGGCAACAAGAGAAGGGATGAATTTCTGTAAGTCTTTGGTCTTTGTCTCACTCTTTTGCAATGTGAAACTTAAAGCCATAACAACAAATATAAAGAAAATTGGCTCTGATTGTAAAAAAGTGTAAGTAATGTGTGTATACATATATATATATTTGTGCGTATGTGCATCTTAGGACAACAAAATCTAATTTCCTTTAAGAACATCTGTATTTGCAAACTAGGTAACATGTGAACTAACCTGCCATCTTCACAAGTTCCACAGGAATCTTTCTTTAATGCTGGAGCAATTTCTAGGGCATTTCTTTTTTAATTTAGACATCATTTTACTATACTGTATACTGCTATTTTTAGGTTTATGCCTTACATTTTTTTTGTTTGGGCAATGTGATATTTATGATTAAAGGAGAAAAAAAAAACCCTCATAAACTATAGCTGTTTGTCAGCACATGACTGAGATACCCAAATACAAATCACTCTCTCACATACATAGTTTTCTAAAAATGTATAGGTAGGAGAGGCCTTATACATAGTTTGGTAGTTAATGGCTTCCCCTTTTGATGACTTCCTTTAGTGTTAATATTTCTTTGTACTCTTAAGCTATCTATTTCATGAACTGCTGGGTAATACACTTCAAAAAGTATAAAAGAAAAAACCCGACCAAAAAAAAAAAATCACAAAGAAACCTGGAGAATGGATAGAGTTGTATAGTCAGTATTAGGATCTCTACTTTTGCTAATGGCAAAGTCTTTTCTCTTCAAGAAAAAACATCCTAACTCACCTGTGACAGCAGATAGGTCACACACTACATATGGATAAGGTACCGGTGTACTGGTGAGCACTGACAGGCATTTTCCTGACTGCTTACTAAAGTGTCACATTTAAAGCAAATTTAACAAGGTCCTGAAGCCCCGTAAAGTTAAGAGTTACAATACATAAATGCATTTATGAATTCTGCAGTATTCGTTTTTAAGGTACACAGACATTAGCGTTACAGTCCCTAGATCAGCATTTCAATGGGGGTTTGGTGTTCACAGCTGCAATGCAGACCTGCACACAGTGCATGAATTGTCACCTACCCAGCTCCTGTCCCAGCTCAGGCCACTAAATCATTGGCATCTCTTCCACTGATCTCAGCAGAAACAAATTCACCGTCCACTCCAGCCTTGCCTTAGTGTTGGGAGGGACAATTAAACTCTGTTTGAGATAAACAGCATCTCCTCAGATAGAAAATGCTCAATTGAGCTAAACTGCAGGCCCAAAATACACAAATCCTTGTTCATTTTGGCATCTTATTAACAGCAGGTAGTGCAGAAATTCCAGCCAAGACAGCTCTAATTTAAATGGACTCAGGGAAAACCAAGCCATACAGGCACAGCAATTGTGAGGGATGTCCAGGCAAGGCAGGAGGAAAAGCGACTCTCACGCATTTGCCTCATCCAACAGGTGGGTCAGTCACTCCACAACAGCCCCCAACGACAAACCATGAAGTGTGAGATAGTTAGATCTGTTTGCATGCTGCTTTTTAAACAAAACACCTGTTGTTTTTTTTTTCCCTCAGGATCCTGGACACCCAGTCCTGTTTGCTCTGGTTTGCTGCTCACTGAACAGCAGGGGACTAATCATGTGGCCAACACGAGCACAGGCAGCATTATCTAAACCGCTGTCTTAAAACTCAAGTGGGGCTCAAATGATTTACAAGCCTCTCTATGGGTTCAATCTTTCTGGGAACAATTCCTTGCCTTTCAACACAACGTATAATTTTATGCTTTTTAAGATAGAAACATGATTGTAAAATATATTGAAGCAGCTAGAATTCCTTTGCGTAGGTACCCGTTGTTCACCTCAGAGACGGGTCTGCAGTGATGGCACAGATGTGTTGCCTAACAGCTCCCCCATAGAAATTCACACCAAAATAAATGGCTGAATGTCCTGAAGCAGTTTCATGGCCTTCATGATACAAGAAGGTGTTAACCTCATCCAAGAGCCCAGCTGAGAAGACCAGACACTCAGTATTAATGTGTTGGGATGGAAATCCTCAGCAGAGCAGCCAGAGGGTGCATGGCAATGAGGACTGAGCCACCAGCCTCCTGGGAGCGGAGCATGGAAATCGGGATGCAGCATCCCTCCTGGGTCAGTCCCTGCATTCAGCCCTGCCTTTCTCACCAGCGTCAAACTCTCAGCGATGGGAAAGTTAACGGGACTCGGTTTCTGTACAGGGTGCTCTTCCTGCAGCACGTGTCTTCACAACTGCTCACGTGGGATTTGTTTATGAATTGGGCCGTGATTGCGATAAGGTTTGTGATTGGTATTAAACGAAACAGAGAAAAAAAATTCTACAGTAAATGTAGGACTATGAATGGGACTTCTGTTGGGGTCCCAGAGGTAACGTACACAGTATTTTGCTATATTTAACATGATTAAAAAAAAAAAGTCTGTATCACTCTAGGTGCCCCTACAGTCTTAATGCATTTCATTAACACCTGTTTTAATTTGCACAACCAGTTCCCAAGACACCCTCCTGTCCCCACCCCCCC